ATCACATTTCACATAGGCCATCGTCACTTGTGCTGTGAAGTCTGCAGTGGGCGCGCACCTGACCACTGGAAATAAAGCGTAATAAGGGGCAAGGACGAGAATCAAGTCCACGAATTACTCAGAAATATCATTTAATCAATCAGTACATTGAGAGTAATGCTAACAAAATATTTCTCTGAAAAATAAGCACTTGGTGCTGAAGTTTGCTAAAAAAGGGTACTCATGAGTGAAAGCGTAATGCACGGAATGTTGCTATATTCTTTCAAATCTAATCATTAGATGCAGCATATGAAGCTCAATCAAAAATCAGTTTTCGAAAGAAACTTGAAACTGACTTGAACGTGAAAGACATTTTGTGGACGGTTCACGAACGCCTACATAAGCCAAGCGAAGGGGGCACATGGAGCGAAGGGGATGTACAGGGTGTTCCAAATGCTTGCGCCAAATTTCAAAAACTCATTAGGAAAGGAATATCGATTATTTTCATCTCGCGCGCTACTAGATAGCAGCTAGGTTCTCTTGTGAACTGCATCGTTATTGGGTTGAACTTCTAGGGTCTCTGAGATGGGGTGATCCAAGGTGACCTGCGATCATTCGCATGCCCGAGGAAGAGGCTGCATCGTGGAATATGATTAAATTTCTTGATGTTCTCCGTAGACACAGTACACATGGCCATCAAACGATGCAGGAAAATAAGAACACTTGTTCGCAAACCTGAACAAGGAAGTATGGTCCGATTTCACGGATGGAATTATCGAAATGTTTTGTTACAATCCATGGTGCTCTATCAGGATGGCGAAGCCACTGATTACTGTATCGAAATCATCGATGGAGCGTATGTCAAATAGAAGCAGCACTACCAACTCTATCACATGCAGAAGTGCCGCTTCATTCTATTCAGCAACAAACAGCAGAGAGGCAAAAAGTTGGAAGGTTACGCTCCACTGGCCACACGCGAATCTCAATCGTTTTTCTTTCTTTTTTTCTGAGGAATTTTCGCTGTGGAGCCGGTGTTGAATCGTCAAAGCGATCCTATTCTTGCTAAATATCGGGAGTCCCATCTCACGAGGAAAGATTGTTGGAAGAACGGCTAACTCGGCATCAGTAATGAATTGGGTGTGAGTCGCGGCCAATGGTGAGATGCCGTTGAATTTTGCCGATTCATGTGTGAAGATCAGCAAGGACGTGCATATTAGTGAACGTATTGAAGCCTTGATCCAACCCCACTTTGGGAGCAAGCCGTGGTGTTGCTAGCAGGACAGTGCTACAGCCCATCCAAGCTCGTTCAAGGCAGGTGCGAGCTGCGAACTGCCCGACTTCGTCGCCGCGAGGAATGCCTTCTTGCTCCCTTAATCACTGGAACTCTCAGTCTGGTCCATGATCAAGAGCAAGGCATGTCGAGCTCGTCGTATGAATCTGCAACCATTGCAAGCAGCATCAAAGGAAGCCTGGGAAGAATTGGATAAGGAACACCTGCGTACAACGTGGGTGCAAGAAGGGACTCCGGGCCTGCTTCTTGCAGGTGGAGGACATTTGCACAATGTTAGTATGATTACGTTTATATTCAATTATTATTCTGAGTTCAGCAGTTTAAAAGACATTGCAATAAATAGGGGTAAGCAATTTTGGGACACCCTGTATGTAGTTCGGAGCCACGTGTCAGGTGACGCATCGTAGGGAGGAAAGAAATTCAACATACCGTACTCAAGGTGTAGAAATAAAATGTTTCAGCGCGATAGAGTAGGGTATTAAACTAAACAGTCTTCGCCACCGACAACGCTTGCGTCAGTTCTACAGCGAACATTTAAAAGAGCAATAGATTTCTCAGTTTTCCAGATGGTTTATTGAAACAAAGTAGTTTTCACGTTCTAACCAGAAAGGATGAGCCGGATATCACCCATTAGTGAGGGAGATGGAATTGAGCGGTCTACTTACTCGATCCTTTCAATATCGAGTACCACGGCACTTTTGAGACCTAACACAATGAGTTGTGGAGACCAGTCAGTGTGGAGAACATTTCCGTATTTTGGTACTTATAATACTTAGAAACTGATCCAAGCCTAACTTCTAGTCTCAGTTAGGCTAGGCTAGATCCGATGCGAGACGATCCTGAAAGCTGTGCGCATGCCTAAGCGTCGATTATATTAGGTTGTCGGAAAAGTCTTTGCACATTTGGCACGTTTTTTCTCCTTCAGTGCAGCCAGCAATTGCTGAATGCATACACCACCATAATCGTCGAAACATTGCTCTTCAGCAGGCATGTCGGGAAACCAATCTACTTGCTAACATTATTGTTCACCAATAGCAGTGGACTTCGTTGGCAGCAGCTCTCCGTGAGCGAAACATTTGCAGCCTCATGAGCTTTCAATGTTGCCTCCCAGGTTGCTGTTCTCTAATCGGCGTTGCAATCCTTTGTTCTACGCATCCGAGCCAGTCGTGCTTTCGCGTGCGGTTTATCTGAGGATCCCACTTCTTGACACCACCAACAAAGTTGGCGGATCAAGCGATAGACGGGCGGCAAATCAAAATGTCCTTGCAAAATTTAATGGTCTCAATAGCCTGTGGTCAGTCAGATCTCAAAATATCCTTTCGCCATAATTTCACTTCTTTAGAGGCGATATTGAGGAACGGCCATTGTGGTCTGGTAGCACTGAAAAGCTCCGCCAATTACCGTGCATTGCACTAAGCACTCTCTCCAATCGAATTCAGAATACACTCGTCAATGAGGGTGGCAGGCCGACCAGATTTGTGGTTTTTTCTCAAGTATCTGGAACTCGGCAACCAAATAATTGGCATATTGTGAAAGATAGTCTGGAGGTCCATCACAACACGTAGAACTCCTACTGCTTCGCTTCAATCGACGCATTTTGTGGGCTTATAAAGGCAGGAGCAGTCGAACATACCTTCAGTGAAAGGCGATTTTTAAGCTTCAAACGCTGCGAAATGCTACGACAGAAATGCTGTGGAGAGAGCATTAACCACCGCTCACATGCGTTTAACAGTGAATGTTTCAAAACGATCCCAAAAGATTTTGCAAGATGAAGAAGAAAATGCGCAAGAACTTTTCCGACAACCTAATATTTCAACAGCACAGGAATGTGGGAGATTAGAAAAGAATTGATTGGATGACATCTTATAATTCTCTCATTACTGTCTATACTGTCAGTCTTATTTTTAAGTTTCGGTGTGCTTGCCTACGAAACACTAAAATTCGCTGAAACCTCATTTGGAAAGATAGGAGCGTGAGCGCTTGGTGAGGACAATTCTCAGTTACTTAAAGCAACAGTCCAGGCAGGGTTTCAACTACTTGGTCATTAGGCGGTCAAAACATGCCCCAGCCCAACTAAAGTTTATAGGAAATGTCTTTAAGTTCAAAACCTACCTCTAAAATGCGCTGGAAGGGGTCGAAGTCCTCTTGGAGGGGCGGATCACCCATACCGAGGCGGATCGCTCAACATACGCTGTGCAGAGTCCGTGCTTGACTAGCGGTCGTTGCGGGACCGCCGCGCTGTATGAGGTCGATTCCATAAGAACGCAATTGAAGCGCTTCAATTTCGATTGCTGGCAAATAGTTATGTATTTGCAAGCATGCATGGCTATTTGCCAGCAGTTGCAATTGGAGCGCATGTACTACGGGCAGGTTCGGACAACTCGTCCAACACACGTCTCCCTAAACGGCAGGGGGAGTCCCTGTCTAAGCCCCTGCCCGACGTTTTTTTCTACTTTTTCTTTCTCCATTGACCAACTTCTCACCTGCAACGTCATTATAGGTGGTCCTTACCCGCGAATTCGTTCCTGGATTGTTGCTTTAATCCTTGAAAAAAAGAGACGACTACGAGCACCTTTTGAAGTGATGTACTAGGTCGAATGTTCTTCACACCGGCTATACCCTCTACTCACACCACCAGAATCAGCTACATAATTAGTACCAGATTGGTTTAAAAGTACAAAAACCCGGGCTTATACATCTGGTTGCATCATCGCATTCAAATGCCGCTACGATTTCGAATGCAGTTAGGATGCGTGGCGCATCACTGAAAGAGTTTGTTAACCACAAGAATGCTGAGTTGTGAGCAAAACTTTCGCCCCAGCGGGATTCGTACCCGGATCCTCTTGCTTTCCGGGCAATGTGCTACCAGTTACACCACCGGGGCACCATTTCACCCCAACTCAGCTTCGATGGTAAATTTACCATAGCTTATCAGCATTCACACGTATAACGTGTTGAGCCGGATAGCCGATATCAAAAACAGAACAAGATTAGTCAAAGTTTTCTCTGTTATGTTTTGTTAATAGATTAAATGTCGCAAAACGATTGCTGCATCTGATTATTTCTTGGAGAGAAATCCTTCATGAATCACAACAAATGTTTTTGTTTTCAGTTCCTGACATACCCTCCTTTGATCCACTGGGTGTTGGAGATGTGGTGCATCATCATCACGACGAGGTACCTATATTTGTATCTTTGCAGTCGATACTTGTTATAGAGATGTATTGTGAGCTTGCCCTGAATGTTAGTCGAGAACGTTTCCACCACTTCGTTGTGAACGGAAAAATGGCATTGTATGCAATGCCCTTTACACTACTTACAAAATGCTACAGCAACTAAAAAAAGGAAATTATTAGACAATAAACAAAATTAAACCTCCCGCAAGCTCTAGAGCAGATCAGCCGAACGTTATCTGATCATTTGTAAATCTTTTGCTACTACTTTCTTTCAAAAAAGGGTTCATACAACTCGTACAAAATATCTACGAAGAGATCCTGCTTGGGCGATGAACGTGAATCGGAAGAGCACGCTCGAATTTTGGGCCACGTCGTCCCACATATCCTGTGAACACTGGGCCATCCTTATACCAGGCTGTTGTAATTGTGTTACTGAATTAGTGAGAAGAATAAAATTGTTCAAAAATGGTCAATCGATTAGAATCATGGCGCACGAGACGCTAAAAAATTCCTCATGATCTTATAGCCGAACAGAAGTTTTTTTGAGATAGTCAATGACTCTTCAGCACGTTCCGGAAAATAAGTTACTGGACTACGAGCATAAAATGGACAAACATCAAAAAAGATCGCTGCTAAACCTGATCCGAGAAGGAATTCTGACAGATGAAAGTTTTATCAATATCACAGATTCATCTACACCTGAGAGAGTACAGGTTGGTGACACAGTCTCATTCATATGCTGATACCTCCTTTTATACCACTTATTTTTTTTGTAATTTTTGGGTTTCTATGCAGTTTTATTCAGTTCCTGTATATGAGTTGGTTTTGTAGGCTGACTTTCGGTGGGGTTACATTTTGTGGATCCTCTTTGTTTTTTTTTGTTAAAGCAATTATTATTTGGCTACAAAAAGTTGTGGCACAGTTGTTTGAGACCGGTGTAAAATGTCAGTCTTACCGTGTCGGTTAGGCGAATCTGTTTGTGATGTAGTGAAGAAGCGTCTATATGTCGACAAGGGGCTAGTTCATTGGGTTATAGTGACCGGTTTTACGAATTTTCCTGAGAAATGTTGGTGAAACTCGATCAAAATTTGTCATTTTTAAAGTGACGCGTGGTTCCCTCCTTTCTCGCCCCCCCCCCCAGCTCCCCGTTCTAAGATAGGCGGAATGTTTAAGATTTTTGGGAAGCATTGGAAGTGTGTCACATTGAGCGATTTTCAAGGAGACACCATCATCATTCAAAGCGATAACCCCGCATCAGGTTGTGCCTATTCTTTTGTTGGGATAGAATAGCAGGGTATCACAGAAATGCCACTGTAGCAGATCGAAGGTGCGGGACAGTGCGCTAAGCCCTTATAAAGTGATCTACCGAGTAGTGTGAGCTAATGGACGGGGCACCTGCGCACACCTCATGACACACAACGTGTATTACGACGTAGGGGCTAATTCAAATACGCGGGCTAGTGAAGCCGTGGAGCAAGCAAGTTTGTACAACTCGTCCGACCCCGCCCTTTCCTTATTTCAAGGAGGAAGAGAGGGAATACTTGTTAATGGCTTCATCGGCAGTTTGCCTTTGATCTTTTACGTTTTTAGTCAGTTGACATCCACAGTTCACTGTCGACCGCTGTTACACCACCAATCCCATCTGGGGTTGTTGCTCTAAGAAGGGGCAGCGTTATTCATACATCTAGAATCAGGAAGAGGCCAGCTGACCTCGAGTTCAAGACTTACACTACTTATTACAGCAACTCGCTTTACCTCTACCCATCATCCTACACGACTATAAGGCATCAGGCCTACCTGGAAGGTCGCGTAAAAACAATGGCTTGCACATCAGCTGGTCCCAGCATGCAATTGTACGGGCTAAGTCGCATTGAAATGCCACTACGATTCTCAATATAAATAGAGTGCGCGGCCATCCCGAAAAGGGATTGATGAAGAAATATGCTTCGTACTTTATGGTACTATCAGTTACTAAGAATACTTATAGAGCACATATGAAAAAGTTTCCTAAACTTAGAAATTACTCTTGTGAAAATATTCCAATCTTCTTCACAAGTGTTTCCATCAATTTCATGCAATGTGGGAAAGCCTTTTCAAATTATAATATTAATGTATTTATAAGATTAGATCGCGTCTACGCTGTTTCCACCATATATGCTTCGGTTTTATATGTACAGTAGCGGTCAAAAATGTTCGCCGAAATCATTTTGTGCATTATTTTTTCTCGCTTGAGCAACGCCCTCCAAAGATTGATATACTATGTTTTCTAGTGTTTTTATATCCTTGAAGTCTAAAGAATCAGGATACTCAAAAGAAAAGCGAGATCACCTGCGTTTTTTTTCTACCGAGAAGAGAGGGAAGCACGAAATTCCGTTTTGGAGAACACTCTTGACGTTAACCTCTACTGTATTCTTGACCACTACTGTAGTTCTGTGAAGTACAGTAGCGGCCGAAAGTGTTTGCCGAAACGATTTTTCACGCATTATTTTTCTCACTTAAGCAACGCCCTCCAAAGTCTGATACACTGTATTCTAGTGTTTTATAGTTTTCTAGTGTTGCTCCTTGAGTCTTAAAGAATCGGGATTCAATGAAAAAGTTCCGAGATCACCACCGATTTTTTCGCACGAAATCGTTTTTTTTTTGAACACAAAAACAAAAAACATTTCTGACCGCTACTGTATATGGATCTACAAGGAACTGAGAACTTTTCCAGGTTCCTATTCCACGAATAGTGGACGCTATGAAGACGGCACAACGAAAAGTGCTGAGCATGCATAACAATAAACCGCTCACCCTCCGGGTGTTTTACGCTAAACACTACTCTTCGGCTAGTTTTGAAAACCAACACAAGGCCGGTGAGTAAGGCGGAAACTACGGGTTTCTAAAGTTTTGAAGCCTTTGTTCTTCCCTACATACTTTTCCTTTTTGATTTGGTTTTCCTTTTTCTGAGCATGTTCCCGCAAATGCTGTATTTTACTAACACTGCTACTACTCCATTACAGATCTCGATGTGCGATCACTTTCTGCTGGTCGCTTCACTATGCCTGTGTGGTATTCATTTATGTTCCTAATTATGACTTTGGGAACATTTGGCTCACATATCTGGTCACAAGTAACAAATTACGCAGACCTGCAGAACAGCCTCTCGTTGACTCTGCCAACAATTATTCTGGTAGTGTCAAGGTTGGTTTCGTTGATGTTTTGCGAGTAAATCATAAAACTAATACACTATCTCTCCAAGGGATGGGGCAGGTCTCCCGGATCTGCTGGGTGTGTGCTCTAGACCGCCGCACAATTTAGAGCGGACGACATTGCGAATCCCTTGACGCGTTGGTAGCAGATCATATGAAACTGGCAGGAGAGATTTCCGAACGAAGCTAAGCGAAATCTACGGAACTCGCAGTAATTCATGGAGATGATTTATAGAATTTCCCTTATTCTACAGCACTATGGGAGACGTTCACTTCTCCTCATGAGGTCAGGTCACCAGAGTTGCTGATTGAAGCCTGGGGTTAGGTTCAGGCTTGAGCTTAGGCATAGAGTCGTTATAACACACTGGCTCATGTTAAAGTCTAAGGTTAGGCTTGGTGCAGCGCACCCGTAGCACTGTAGCATAAATTTCAGCTCGGCATATCCAACTTTCAATTTGGGCAGTCACAGCTTCGAACCTTGGTTTTGCTCACTTTCCTTTGACTTGACCGATGTATAACCTACGAATCAATCGTGTGGTGTGCTAACTTGTGATAACCGAGGCAATTTATCCTTATGAAGCAAGCACTCGTTCATTCCGTCAAGGAGCTGCTATATTGGAATTGAACTATCCAAAAGGCTTTGCTGGCCGCTACTGCTAGCATCAATGAGCAAGGTACCTCTAAGATTGGGCTAGGTGTGGAAGAAAAGCTACTGTGGTTACTAAGGGCAATATCAAAAGCTAGGTAAGGCCAGGGAAGTTGCGCTGAAATCCAGAGTGTCGAGTTCGTTGATCATCTGTTGAATGGAGACTGAGCGTACTTCTTTGCTAAAGATCTTTGGGCATCATTTTCAGATGAAGGCGTATAAAATGGGAAGATCTCACTGCTAACTGAAGCGGCTGCAATAAAGGGGAAGCAGCGATTGTTTTCGTTATACATATGATATGAAACGACATGTTTCCTACCCTATTTTGTTATTGGTATGAAGATGGAAATTTCGAGGAACCCATACGTTACTTGGGAAAATTAAAATGATCTCCTTGCAATATTGAGTGATTTAGCCTACTGATCGGCCTTCTTCTTTACCTCACTATTTATATGGTGGGATTTTTGTGTTGCTGCGAGAACAACTTTACCGACAAAGGCCTTGCTACGGCCGATCTCGACTACCCAGCTATATACGTGCATTTCTGGTGGGTTTGACTTTTGCTTGTGTAGTGGTTCACAGCTTCTTTTGCCCTTTTTCAAATAGAAAGCAAAGCGATTTTTTGTCACACGCGTTAATAACACACAGCAATATATCTCAGCACGAGGTGTACATCATTGAAACAAAAAACCATAGGAAGTAATAGCAAGCACATTCCTTTCTCCAGTCAACATAAAACTGTCAATTTTCGAAGTTGAGACATTGTCGATGACCTTTGTCTATTGCTTCGGTTCTCAAGCATTTCTTAATTTTCTCTGGTAAGAAATGCTCTGGAACCGAAGCGTTTCTTTCACCTTCTAATTGGCAGTTTTGGGGATTTTGGGGAAGTTATGGGGAGAGGGGAAGTGTGCCAGCGCCCTAACGAGGCCTCTCATTCTATTGGTACTCTAGGTAGGAATACCTACCTAGAGTACCAATAGAATACAATAAATCGAATATAACGAGGACTGCGATTCAATTCACATAGATCAGTTTTCGACCGTTCGAAACTATTGAAGGTAAGATAGAAGGCAACGCGTGGGTTGAATGTGAGGAGAGCATTTTTGTGGACGTCATTGGTCGTCTTAGATAGAGGGGCGCTAAGGGTTGTTCTGGGGACCACACTCGTTAAGCAATGGCTCCCTGAAAAGAACCGGCCCACTTTCCAGCCACCGTATTCTCTGGCTTCATGGTAATGCTGTGCTCAGGTAGTGTAATCGGTAGCACAAATGTCCGAAAAACGAGAAATATGGGTTCGATTCCCGTCTGGTGTGCAGCGTTCTGTTCATAACTAATCATCGTTGTGATAATCAAACCGATCGCGTTATTACGGTGTACCTATTTTTTTGTACCCTGAGACTACTGAGAATTAGTGTTGGAACCTGAGCGTTAACGTGTCTTAAAGGTAAGAATCAGGATCAAATTGATGGGGTGATTCCACTCAAATGTGAAAGTAGGGATGGAGGTGGACCGCCAGTGGAGAAAAAAGGAAAAAATCCTGAAATACACAGGAAATACGAGCATTTTGCTCCATGCTGTGGAGAAGTTCAAAAGACAGGCAGGGAGATGAGAGATAATGTGAGCGCGGAGAGTGGTAGAGAAGTCCGAGAAGAGAGAGCATAGCAGATCAACGTGGCGACGCAGACAAGATATCGAACGGTGGGCGGACCATGTTAAGTTTGGTGGAGTCTGTTAGAAGTCCATGGCGCCTAGGGTCCTAGTGACGCGTTTCGATGTAGAAAGGTGGCGCTACCTTTGCACTTGCGTACCCAGCACTTCTAGCCATGGTAAGGGCTTCTTAGGTGGGTCTGAGCCCGAACTTTGCCTTTAATTGGTGTAATGAGTAGGCATTGAATAGAGAATAGCGGACCAGTGAATAGTGTATTTCCTCGAACTATAACAAAAACATTCCAGTGAGCTGAATCAAATCGAGAAGCGAATCTATGCCACGAAAGCTATACAATTCATTTTGTTGTGGTATACGATGATTCTTTCAATTTACGCCAATCTTTACGAATTAAACATCTACCCAGCACTGGCTACAGTGCTAACAAATGGATTTGGTCTCATGTTATTTGCCAGGTACTTTCTTAGCTTTTTCACCTCTTTTATTCAACCTCTTTCAATATGAGAAGAGGCTGCAACTTCCCATAACACTAGAACCATTCTTAATCGTTTGAGCCACAGTTTTTCAGGATAGCGGAGTTTTTTCGACGATGTCGAAGAACCAGGAATGGCACGGCGATCGCAGCACGATAACATATTTTGTTCCACAATTTTAAAGAAGCTGGGCAACCTATTCGAAATAAACAATATTGTTTTGTAAATATATATTTCAACTCATTAAATTCCATTTACAAAAGTCAGTGTAGCTATGTTCTCCATTCTTCGAGATTTCTTCGAGCAGCTGAACGGGCTGGATAGCGCCCCTTTTGTCAAAGGGCTTCCCCAAGAAAACCTCATTTTCAAAGGAAACCAAGTGGCCTTTGAAAAAAAAAACGCCACTTCGAAATGTTTTCTCTGGTGAAGTTCGTGTTATTGCGGTTGTTCAGGACTATTGCGTTGTTCTCAATTCCAAACATTTTCGATGGGGGGCATCGAACCCTTTTTCTCTTTTTCTCACTGACAAACACTTGTGAGCAAGCGTACCGAGCAGCACGCTCACGTTCGCCGCGCTGAGATCGCACGGCGATTTCGAGGAGTCATCGAAGCTCACGAGGCTTCAGAGTGACAGAAATTAACTGGAACTGGATTATGCGTAGCAGCAAGAAAAATATGGATGACCACTGCACTGCTTCAATTTTCTCACCGGAGCAATGTTTGTAATTTCTCGGTTAGCGAGAAATGGTCACGCTTCCCATCCGGTGGAGTAGCTCGGATGCTACAGTTCCTTATCCTCGAGCACTTGTGTATACGATCTCAGATGCAGCCTGACGCTCGTTGACTTCAAACCCAAGCAATCGCATATCTGATTCCAATGATTGAGTGTGTCTATGGCGCAACTTGTGGCAAGCAGCCACTTTGATAATATCTTTATATAATGAAAGCGGTGAAACTCCAGTTCGGGGGGCCACTCCATTTTTTCTCCAATACTCAAGATAAGGATTAGAGGGCTCACGACACGTAATCGACTCATTTAAAGTAGACTTCTGATAAATATTGGTGTAATGGGTGAGAAACCCTGAAACGTTTTCACATTTCCGCCTGCCATGACCCAAGGGAACGGTCCTGGACCAGGAGAAAGGACACCTCCGCAAAGGGCTAAGGGTGCAGGAGCTCCAGGGTGAATCACCTGTGCAGAAAAGTGGATAGAATGTGGGCAGATAGTGTGGAATGTAGGACATCCGCAGGTCCTTATCAAAAGTACGCTCGAAATGAGTCGTTCAGTTATTATCTTATCCGGAGTGTTCGATAGCCCAGAAGAACTGCTCTCCAGTAGTATGGATAAGATAGCAATGGAGTGCCCCCCCCCGAACTGGAGTTTCGCCATGAAAACATTATGAAAATGTGCAGCGCTAATAGTCTTTTGGTATGGGCCACACATTTAATAACCACTTGTGACCTTTGACTGCATTTATATTATAAAGTATGTGAAGGAGGCGGAAATACAGTGTTCAAAGGCTAAGTTCGAATTTCAGCGAATCTTAGCAGAGATGATAAATTAACATTTTCTGTGCCAGCTGCTTACGATATTGTTTGAAATTTTCAATTACAGGCATTCCGGTGGTTTCGCCTTCTCGAAAGACCAAGGCATAGAGGACGACTTACAGATACCCAACCGAGTACTCACCTCCTTTTAAGTTCGGCATCAAAATAATGCTATTATTTCCGTCTTGCATCTGTTTAGGCTTCTAGGTTTGTTATGGTGGAGCACTTTGTTGGTCGACGTTTCGAATAAATCGTCGTTTTCAAGACCTCTTACGGCTTCACCAGTACTGCTCCCCGCTCGGCTCCGTGAAGAGCTGACGAAAAACTTTTTGAGCTTGGCTCGGCTCGAAAAGTTTTTCGCCAGCTCTTCACGGAGCCGAGCGGGGCAGTTTTTCGCCAGCGGCCAACAAAGTGTGCCAATAACAAACCTGGAAGGCTAAACAGAATCAAGCCGCAATCGGATTGCCCAGATTTCAAGAAGAACATGGAACATGCGA